TTTTAGTTTAACTGTATTTCCATGCTTGGAGTGAGCTGCAGGGTTTACCTGTGCAATGAGGAAATACCATAAAGATGAGTCAGTGAAAATGACAGAAACATTGAGACTTACACAAAACAGACGGGTAAATCTGACTGATAAACTGCTGCAGTCATTCTTCAATCCAAGTTGTCTGAAAATGTTGCTTGCATAGTTGCTGTCAACCAGTGTGGTCAAGAAACGTGGTTATTTTTTAAATCCTTGGTTTGTGTAGTGAATAAAAAAATGTAGATAAACACTACTGTTAAAGAGCTTAGATGCAGTAAATTAAATTAATTAATACTTTATTACATTCAGCAAAAAGGCTTTAAATTCATCAAGCGACAGTAAAGCACACTTAAAAAAAAGATTTCTATTTTAAATAAATGCTGATCTTTTGAACTTTCTATTCAAAGAATCCTGAAAAAATGTATGACAGTTTCTACAAAAATATCATGCAGCACAACGGTTTTCAACACTGAAAATAAATCTTTCTTAAGCACCAAGTCAGCATATTAGAATGATTTCTGAAGGATCATGTGACACTGAAGACTGGAGTAATGACTGCTGGAAATTCAGATTGGCCATTACAGGAATATTGAATTTTAAAATTTTTATTTCATATTTTTTTTTGTATTTTTTCTTTTTTTATCTACATGCATCGTAGTCCGTCGCTTAAGCACAGTTAAAGTCATCGAATGTGTGTTATGAAGCGTTGACAGTAAAATCTCCAGCAGTTTAATTCAGGCAGGTTCTGACCTGCTCTCTGCTTTTCTAATTCATTTTAGATGCATCATGGGAGACCACACACACAGAGATTTCGATTTGAGACTATATTAACACAATTGATTTTTGTGCTTGCTTTTGTGCTTAAATTTTGACCTATTTTTGTGAAGCTTAAAAAAATCCCTAATATTTTAGCTTATCTAAAATAAGTGATTTTAACCATCCCTAGTCAAAGAATAGTGTGTTGACGACAGATTTTATCATCGGAATTAAACGTTTAAATCTAATTTACAGTAAAAACAGCTACACATTTTTTAACATGTCTAATCTTGTATTTGGCTCCACTTCTCACAGACATATTGTGGTTCAAAATATAAGGAAGGACATTTTCCCTTAAATATTTAGCACACAGCTTTTCAAAACAATCTGTGAGGTGAATATTTGGTTTATATAGGGCAGATCTAAGTATAATTTTAATAAAACTGATGTTAAGTTATGCACAACCTAAATTAAAATAGAAAACTAGGTTTGCACACAAGCATCACACAGATGAGTCTCCAGAGGAGGATTTTGAATTTCCCCAGACAGACTGTCACACCCTCACAGAAAACACATTTATAATCATGAAGTAACAATAACCATTCATACCAGTCTGTCATTAAAAACAAGAATTGCTTCTAAACTGGTTTATAAACACTGTGATGACTTAAAGGGAGGACCTATGTCTTATTTCATGACTAGGTTGGGTGGTGATTCTTTGTAGGGAGTGTTATAGTTGTTTTCGTATCTTCATCACGTTTCTGTTGCACAGTTTAGTCCCACTCTAGTTATGTATAGAATCCCTCAATCTTCCCTGTGAGATATATTTGCTGTCTTCTCTCTTTTGCAGTGTTTTACAGTAAACGTGGCCTCCCTGGGCTGACAAGACAGGATATATGATCCTGTTCTAGAGTCAACAGGTCTTGGCAGTGTGGATGGGAGGGGTTGTCTGCTGGGAATCCTTCTGGTCTTAGCTGTAACCTTTCCTGGAACATTCCTCATTTTTTGTTCAGCAGCAACAGACTCCGTCCCCCATCCAAATCCAGCCCCTAAATGCATGCGATTGGCGGATGTCGAAGAAACATAACCAGTGGTAGACAGTAACAGAGTAGTTTTACTTCGTTACTGTACTTAATACATTTTTCAAGTATCTGTACTTTACTGGAGTAGTTTTTTTTTGAGTAATTTTTACTTTTACTTCACTAAATTCCAAAGCATAAGATCGTACTTTTTACTTCACTACATTTCATAAAACATATCGTTACTCCTTATAATATATCACGTGCTCCGACACGCAGAAGCGGTGTCTGATTCAAGAACGAACTGATTCTTTTCAATGAACCTTTTAAAATCGGTTCGCAAATCGCACCAAACGATTCATTCACGAATTAGAATGAACCGATTGCAGTTGTTCTCGAGTCGACAACTCACTGATTCAAATGATCCGTTTAGTGCGAGTCTCCAGTGAACTAAATTCACAAGTAAGAACCGGGAGATGTTGTGAGCGCGCGCGCGTCTGATGCTGTTAAAAGTAAGTTACTAATGTCGAATTTTAGGATTAATTATTGTAACTGAAAATCATATTTAGGTCAAAGCTGTCAGTTGTCTGTGAACTAAATCTGCTGTAAAGGGTGATCTGTTTAAGCCCACTGAAATGCTTCAATGCAGACACATTAACATCAGAGTCAATATTTTAGGTTAAAAAAAACATTGAAGTAACACAGATTAAAGAAAATAACTCATGCACATTCACTCGAGTAAAATTGAAAACTGAGTACTTTTACTTTTACTGGAGTAATATTTTATTATACGTATCTATACTATTACTCAAGTACTTGATTTGTGTACTTCGTCCACCACTGAACATAACAATAGGGGAAGGACAAAAGCCAGTAAGTAGGAACATGCAGCACACTGTGGCCACAGCAATCTTAAAATATGGTACTGAGGTGGAGAAGATGAAAAAGAGAGGGATAAATGAAAGGGCAGTTCAAAGGCAGACTAGACCTCGCCTGAAAACAAGAACTTGCTGTTAAAGTTTTCACAAATGGCTTTTTCAAACTTTGCCTCACACTTCCTTTATCTCCTTCTCACCCACTTTCCTTTTTCTCTTCCTTCAGAGTGACGTCCACCCAGTTTCAACATTTCTGCTCAGACCCTTTCAACAAAGCTGCCACACAAAGAGGGGCCACAGCCAGGGGGAGAAAGAGAGTATTGTCTGGCCACAAAAACACCATTACATCAACAATAACTCATGAAGCCAATAAAGAATATGAAGAGAATACTGTGTGTGAGGTAATGCATTGCGTTGGGGGATGGGGTGTACTTTGGAGAAATTAAGGTCACCAAACCAAGTTAACTTCATTTATTTGGGTTTAGTTATCTTATGAATAATGTCATGTTTAGTTTCTTGGATGTTTGGTAATTTTAGAGGTAATTTTACAGTATAAATCCTTGTTCATTGTATAAATCACTCCATTTTACATATGGAGACATAGATACATGTATTTAACTTTTTAAGTTTGACTCAGTCTTTAAGGAAAAATAAGATAGAAAGCCGGAAACAAATACATAGTGCAGGAATGCTGTTTTCATGCACACAGAGTCTGACGTATCAAGCCTTATGACTCTATAAACAGTCTGAAGGGTCTTTTCATGCTTTTATTTCCAACTATGAAGAATAAATGCTGTCCAAAATGGTCTAATTTATTTATTCAGGCTAATCAAATTATACACCATGAAATACTTGTGCATACCTAGAGGGATAAAGTCGGATCTGATACCTGTCCAGCACATTGCATCAATGTAACATTATACTGTATTGTTAAAGGATAAGATAAGGTGTGCAGCTTTTGAAAGGACACGGGAAGAACCGGCATACCTCTATGATATCTGCAGGGGAGGTGGATGAGACAATTCACAATATTTGTCTTATGAAAATTCTGTTATTCAGAACACTGTGGAATATAAGCACAAAGCACTACGAGTTTCCGTTGCTCTGAAGCAACAAAGCAGCACTATTCAGTCTGCCTTTTCAAATATAAAGGCTGCACATGAAAAGGCACCAATTGTGTTAGTGAAGCAAACTTGATTTTTTTTTTTTTTAAATCAGTGGTGGGTTTAATTTAAACTTTAGACTAATAAGCATGTTCATTCATGCACACATAGTGCATTTAAGGAAGTGGATTATCTGCATTGACACTTGAATAAAGATGGAAAGTGCATGCACAATCCTTTTCAATTGGCACCATGCTCCAATGCTCCATTGAAGGCCTGCATATGTGCACAATGCACTGATTTTTCATCTGTCTATACAACCAAATTACAAATAGAAACAAAACAAGACAAAAATCTTAAATAGAAATCATATTTACGTTGCTTTATATTTGTTTTCGATTACTTGTTGCTTTGGATTAAAACATTTAAAGCTAGCTAGGTTGCACCCTTTGAACTTGACATTGATTTTATGGATATGTTGTTATTTCTAAACCAATTTCATTTATGGCAAATATTAGGAATATTGTAAGACACACTGACGTTTAAAAAGGGGTCATATGATGCGATTTCAAGTTTTCCTTTCTCTTTGGAGTGTTACAAGCTGATTGTGCATAGATAAGACCCCTGAAGTTGCAAAGACTAAAGTCTCAGAGATATTCTTTATCAAAGTTAAGACTCTGCCACGCCCCCCTAAAACGGCTCGTTCTAACACGCCCCCACATATCTACCTCACTATGTGGAAATATTTGCATAATGCGCCCAAATGTTCACGCAAAGAAAGAAGGCGTGGTTTCAGTAACCGCAGTTAGTGTTGAAGCAGCCATGTCAGGGAGACGCTGTGTGTTTCTAGGTGAAAGCAAAAGCACTTTATTTGGCCTTCCATGATCTTTAAAAAAGCATCATATGACCCCTTTAAACAAAACAGTCTTCATACTGGCCTACCATATGAATAAGAAAGACAATATCGGCCTATTCAAATGGCTTCAATAGAAGTGTTACAATAATAAAAAAGACTCTATGAGTCATTTCAAAAGGCCTAATATTTTCACACTCAAAGAACAAATGGATTCATGTTTCATTCTAAAAGCCAAAAAATGAATCTGAAGACATCCATTCTTTCTCCGCGCGCTCTATTCATTTCGTCAGTGCATACAAACATTCCCACGTGATGATGGAATGACTCCCTCCCCTCGCGCACAATCTGGACGCGGCACGCGCTATTGAACGCTCGCGCGACACAGAGAAAGTAGACCAAGGTGCAGAGACACTTTACCGACTCTTTCACACGGCGGAACACGGAGAAGACAGACACTTTCGCCTTTTGTCGCTGATATGAAACAACTTGTAATTCCCCTGCTTTGGCAATCACGCTCACTTGTGGATTTAGAGGACTTTATGGAGATGCACTTTGCTTGATCTTGAGGTTGTTGTTTTCACTACGTTTGCTAGGATGTTAAGTTCCTCGGTTTGTACAACTGGAAACATGCTGGAGAAAATAAGTATTTCGGATTTCGTTTCTTTGGCGAAAGAGGACCTATCGTCTCCGGGAAGCTCTGGATTCCAGTCTAAAATGAGCGACTGTCGAAGCACCGTGGCCGCTCTCGAAGAGGTAAGGGCGCGTGCAAGCGCGGTGTTTACCTGTGCGCAGGTGGACAACACCTGAGTGAATCCCTGTCCTTCAATCTCTGAAAATCTCTGACACAAGAAACCTTTTCCTTTGCACTCATGTCAAGACTTTTTAATATGAGCAAAACACTATTATTTTGAATTCAGCCTTGAAGATTTGGTGGCAGAGTTTATATTAACCTGTTTTACGTGTGCACTTCGTAGGGTAATAAAATGGTCCATCCTTTTCATTTTTAAATTAAGTTATCAGTCAGGGTGACCTTTTGAATCTAATTTATCTGAAAATAAACTAAGAAAAGTATTAAAGTTGCCAAGGTTAGTTGAGAATGTCCATAGATAATGTAAACTACACCTGCTGGTTACTCAAGGTGGACACCTGTGTGAACAACAGAACTGACCTTTTGCCATTTAGTAAACTGTTGCCAATGAATCGTTTTATAAGCAGTAGTGGTTTGAATTGCCCATTGTACACTTTATCGGCTTATGTTATGGTTTAGAGTTAGAGGATGGCACAGGAGTCACAATAAGGAAGAGACAGACTTTTCAAGTGGCCAAGTAAACTTGCTCGGGGCACTTGTATGCCAAGTAATTGTCTTCAGTCTTGAACAGCAAGACTGGAATGACGTTGGCACAAACACAGGATCTCTTCACAGCTGCATCGTTTCATTGAGGAATAGTGTTAATATAATCAATTACAGAAAAGCAGGACTGATAACAGACTCCGTACTTGTTATGAGGTCTTATAAACCTAATGTGGGTCTTTAGCCGCCAGTTCATCTATAGGCATTTGTGTGGAAATTAATGGAGAATAGAGAAACTCTGCCAGCAAGTGACAATGCTGGGCATGTTGGGACAGTGGAAGCCTTTCATTTTTTTTCCGCCTTTTCATGGGAAATGGTTTATAGGTTTTTCAGGAATTTCAGTGTTCTAGATCTGTGGTTCTCAACCAGAGGGCCGGGGTCCACTAGGGGGCCTCAACAAACTTTCAAGTGGGCCGCAGGATGACACAAAAGTATTTAAATGAATAATTTTTTATTAATATACTAAAATAAGTCAACTTTAATCTAAATTAAAATGCTAAAAAAAAAAAAAATCACAAAACCAAGTTGTCACAAACCCCCCCCCAATAATTGTTGTTTTTGTTGAAGAACATTTTCTTCAATTGTTTTTATTGAACAACAAATTTCTGGAATGAGAGAATGAATTGTAGTTAATATCAATACTCACAGTTTCTATTAATCAAAAGTTTTAAAGGGGTCATATGATGCGATTTCAAATTTTCCTTTCTCTTTGGAGTGTTACAAGCTCTTGGTGCATAAAGAAGATCTGTAAAGTTGCAAACACTAAAGTCTCAAAACCAAAGAGATATTATTTATAAAAGTTAAGAGTTAACCACACCTAACTAAAACGGCTCGTTCTAACACGCACCCACATACCTACGTAACGATCTGGGAAGATTTGCATTACGGCTCCCAAATGT